AAAAAAAAAAAAAAAAAAAAAAAAAAAAAAAAAAAAGGCGTGGTTTTCATCGTAGTAGCGGTCACTAAAGATTGAGGATCGGTCTCCAATTTTGAATGTCTTGTAAAAATTTTTTTTACTTCTTTTCATACCACTTTTCTTCCACAACGGTCTTCTTGAATCTATTAGATAGGCTACTTTGCAGAAGGGTAAATAAATAACGATCAATAAATAATCCGAGTGGCCAAAAATTGCTCTGCTTTGATACCGCCGCGACTACTGTACTTATGTTTTGTGTTGGTGATACTGATAAAAACCGGTTTATCGTTGTTGGCAAGCAGCGCTTATTTTCAGTTTGGGATGATTTGAATAAAAATAGCTGCAATTATCATAAACTTAGGAGTGCTAAAATACTCTTTCTTTGTTTTTTTGAAAAATAGGAATGTTCAACTTTGAAGCGTTTTAAATGAAAAAAGATTCGTCCGCTACAATTATTTTGACAATCAAAAATGCTAAACATTTAAGTTACATATGGGAAAGTAGTAACAAAAACTGAAATTTTATCAATTTTAATATTACTGTTGATATTAGATGAAAAATAATGCTTGTTTCACAGAACAGCTTCCAAGTTATTTGACTTTTCAAACGATCAAGCACCTTTCTTTCACCTTCTCAACCTTCACCATTTTAATACAGTCGAATGTGAAGAATTATACCAAATTAGCCACCTTCAGGTTGTTTTACACTGATCCACTTCAATTTCAAAAAAATCACCAATTTCCAGCCAGGCTGTTGACAGCAACGTATAAAAGCAGTAAAACTTTTCAAATTTTATTGTTGGTTAGCTTGGCCGTTTTTTTTTTTTTTGCACTCAAATACGATATGTCTTTTGGAAAGCCGTTGTAATCCCATATTAACCGACTTTTTGTGAGACACAGTGCTTGGGCGTTTTTGCAGATTTTTTTCGCACTTTTCTGTCTTTTTCTCTTGTAGTTAAAAAATACTTTCAAAAAACCCGTGACGAAGATGTTACCAGTCGTTGACAATTTTCAGTTAACTACCCATCGTCGACATCAGTACACTTCAGGCCATCGACGTCTGATGTAGCAGTGCCAAGGCCGCAAACTGCACCTACTACATTCAGTGTACCAGCGTTCATTGAAGAACCATCAAAGCCAAAGGCAAGTTTCAAATTTTCGCTTTTTTTAAAACAACGCCATAGTGAACTTTATAGACCTTACTTCCCTCTTCTGATTTTGAATCTACCTTCAACCAAGCAATAATGAATGAAAGGCGGTCAACTTCACAGTGGTTTTCCTGTCGTAGTGCTAGCTTGCATTCAAAGCCTTTTTTTATGCCAACGTTCACTCCTTTAAAACTCCTCTAACTTTCAGTCTCTTTTCTTTTTTTTTTCTCAGTTCTCAGTTTCTCCTTTCAAGCTTCTCTCACCAACAAAATTTATCCCTTCAAATCTAATAAGGCTGGAAAGTGCACTTGGGAAAACGCCCAATCTCTTTTTGTTAAATTGCTCCAAAGAGGTAAGAAGGAAACTTTGGAGTCAAACTGAAGCTAAATGAGAAGTTCTAGTTTGAGAGCCATAAGCAACTAGAACGATATAACTTGCCTTGTTAACAACGTACCTTTGCCTCCCTGGAGTTCTCGTTGTCAAAATTTACTTGTCTTGAAAACTTGGTCACGAATGACGACAGAGAGAACTCCAAAAAGAATTTCGCTATGATTCTCTATTGATGTTTTGTAACTCTGTTATTTGAAGTGTTCTAGACTTAATTTTATCTATCACTGATACATCAGATAGCCGTTTGCAACTACATTTCAACAAAAAAATGACATTACTTAAAGAAATTAAGACTAAGCAAAAATAAGTTTCTTACTTCCCCGCCGTCTTGAACTCTTCACACTCTTCAATTATATCCAATTGTAATATTGCGAATTAAAATATAAGTTTTTCTTCTAAAGCACTACAAACATATTTGCCCTGCTTTAAAACTCTTTATTTCAAGCAAAAAAAGCTATCCCTTCTCTCTCTAGGCCAGTATTTTCGCTGATTTGAAAGAATCACATTACAGTCACGCAACATTTAATTTTGCAGGTGTAAAGCTCGAAACAAATTTTTATTTGCTTCATCTAGACATTTATAGGCACATGAAATCAAACGTTATTATCGGCCGGCTTCTCAGGCCCTACCGCCACAAAACAGTAAAGTTCCTACAGCAAGTGGTCCTTCAGATCTTTCGCAAGTTCCGTCAACCTCCGACTGTACTGTTCAATTTGTTCCTGTATGCAAGTAAGCTTTAAATCTTTCTCAGTTGAATCGTTCCTAGTGGGCGTCGTCTATAACTTCACTGTAATTTTAATTGATTCGTTTTGTAGATATGAAGATACTCAAGCAATCCGAGCAGTGGCCTTCCATCCAAGTGGGCGTTACTTTGCACTGGGAACAAACTCAAAACAGATGCTAATCTGTAAATATCCGTATGCCGAAAATCGGAAGTATGAGAACCCCATATTTATCTGAAAAAAATTTTTGTCTTGCCTTCACAACAGTCTTTTGAAGGTCGAAGACCACCCTGCAAAATATTGATGTACTTCTGAAAAGGCCAAAACAGCACCGCGGCAGTGTTTACTGCATAGGATTTAATCCAAATGGTGAACTTCTAGCAACAGGCTCTAACGACAAAACGATGCGGCTTATGTCCTTCAATACTGAACAGTGTAAAATTGGTAAAAAGTTGTTTAAATCTTTGGGCGGTGCCTGTAGTTTATATGTTTTAAAAGCCCTTCATAAAGCAAACTGAATTCCACTTTTCTTTCACATCTCCATGCTAAACTTCTTCTAAAATTAGGTGCCGAAATGGAGTTAACGGTTCATGACGGAACAGTACGTGATCTTATATTCATGGAAGATACCGCACACCGTGCGGTACTGGTATCAGGTGGTGCTGGAAATTGCCGTATTCATATCACAGATTGCACAACTGGGAAAACTTTCAATACTCATCAGGGACATACGGGTTCACTCACCAATTTCTAATTACCGAACCAATTTGATCATATGCTTACTTAACAAGGGGAAATTTTAGCTGCCATACTCGGATTATATACGTGGGGAAGTGCATCTTTCGTTAGCTGTTCGCAAGACAAAACGGTACGGTTCTGGGATCTCAGAACGGCTCAAGCCATTCATGTAGTAGCTCCAAGCAACAAGATGTCAAGTAAACTGTTCCTTCTCTAAAAACTTCAAGGCTTTTTAAGTATAAGTCAAAAGAGAGCTTCTCTCGCTCTCAACTCCTTTGGAAAAGTCCAGCTTTGTAGACGCACCAGTTACCTCAGTTTGTGTTGACCCGAGCGGAAAACTACTGGTAACCGGTCATGAAGATGCTTCCATAATGCTCTATGATATTTCTGGTAGGCGAATAGTTCAAATTTTCCGGCCTCATGGTGACGAAGTTCGCACTGTCCGCTTTAGCAATGCTGCATATTATTTACTAAGTGGATCCTACGACAAAAGGTAACATTTAGCAAATATTATGGCATCAATATCCAACAGAGTTGAAAGACCTTATACAGTAAACACGGTCTATTTGACAGAAAATTTTTCCGGTCCTGAATCGATTTATCCATTTCAGAATAGTTTTTACCGACATGCGCGGAGACTTAACCGCTCCGTTACTATATTTACCAGTTGCTGAACATAACGACAAAATCATACAGTGCAGGTGAGAATACATGCAACTGCATCGGTAAACAGCATCTAAGTAATACTCATCATTCCTTCAGGTGGCATCCCCACGACTTCTCCTTCTTAAGCACAAGTGCGGACAAGAGTGCAGTTTTATGGTCTCTTCCAGCACCGCCTAATAACATGTAATTACAGCCTTAATATGATATGATGAAATCTTCATCCAGGAAAAAAAAAGGAAACGGCTGATAAAAAAATTTAGTTTATTAATCTCGATCTCAATTTCATATAACACTACCTGTAACACCCGCATCAAAGTTCTTCAGAAACAGTGACATATCAAATCTTTAATGTAAAAATTTTTAAACGTAAGATCTTTGCAAAAGGAGAAATGAACTAACAACCTGTGAAATAATGAAGTCACTTCTCAAAAACTAATTAGAAGTTTATCAACAATTTATCATTACCAAATGTGAAAATTAAAAACATTAAAATGAAACAATTCAGAGTGCTATACAGCAACTTTCAAATGTCAACATGAGATGTGCACTCTCACTTTTATAAAACCAGATTTCCCGTCAAAAACAATTAATATTTTGAACTAAGTCTACAAGACTGGTGATTACACAAATGAATTTCAATAAAACATTGAAAAAACCCTGCCTAAAGTAAATATCAAAATAAACCTTGAAGGTTCGGCGAAGAACGTTTCAAGTTCATAATAACCAGCCATTATCCCTGTCCCTTCCGCCCTGAAAAACATTAAACATTTCGAAGTCAACTTACTCTTGAGACATTAACCGAGGAGAACTTTTTGTGTAAAAACATAAAGTTAGAGTCAGAAGAGTGACATACCGTTTGCCCGGTATCTGCAAAAGTTTCTTCCGTTCCCTTTGTCTCTTGCTTAATATCATCAATATTAGGCCCTACTAAAGTTGTTTCTGCATCACAAACAATATGCTCAACATTCTGATCGATTAAGCGATCCGTAAACGCTTCTAACTGCTGAGTTTCAATTAGAGGTTGCTGGAAAGGATGAGAAATTAATAACGTTTTTCAAAAGCTGAGCAGCTAAAAAGCTCCCCCAACCTTCAAAAGCAAGAGTTCGAAAATGTAACGCTAATTCCTTACTTCATCAGCAGTTTCCAAAAAATGATCACTGTCAACCAAGCGCTGACGATCTTCAATCCCTTCAAATCCACGGCATTCGTCTGTAAATTTCTGACCTACTGCAGTTATACCATCATTCTGAGAGACTGATCTCAAAGCAGCACTTGATCCACAACTATGCTCTAATGAGTTTATGTGGAATGACTCATCAAAATTCGATCTAACTGCAATCTTATGAGTACACTTCGCTTCATGTTTCCTTTGGTTACGTGCTTGAACAAAAGACCTGCCACATCCTCGCATACATGCGTAACTAAAATTGCCGTTCAAAAATAGGAGCCAAATACTACATGTATAATAAGATTTGAGAAAGGTCAAAGATGTAAAGACAACTTCCTGAACTCAAAACTTACAGAAATTTAGTGAATTATCATAAAAGAGAGCATAAACTATATAATATTAAAACACACTAATCCTTCAAATTACCGTTTGCGAACAAAATGCTTTGCATTTTGATGAGCATTCAACAAGGATCCATTAATAAATCGCTCACCACAGCCATCAACGTCACAAACATAAGGCTTTTGGTTCAAATGTCGTCTGATGTGCATTCGCATCGGAGTTCGCTGTGAAAACCCGACACCACATATATCGCATTTAAATGGCTTTTCACCAGTGTGGGTTCTCATGTGAGCCTAAAAACTTCTCGAATATAAATAAAACCAAAAAACAAGAGTTTTAAAATATCACCTGTATTTTAGACGGATATTTATCAACTCGTCCGCAGTATTCACATCGGTGTGTCTGCGGCTTCCTTCGGTTGTGTGGAGAGGCTTTATCAACGTCTTGACCCTTAACAAGAAACATACTGAAAAAGCTAATAGGAAACATAAGAAAAGAAAGAAAAAATAAAATCAAAAATGAAGAAAGAATAGACGGTAACAAAGTTGAATTTAAAAGTTTGGTTTACTACCGGTCGAACTAACCCTAGCAACCGCATCAATAATCCAATCTAAATTTCTTGCCGGGCGAGGACGGTAAATATAACCTCCGGCATAAATAAGACGTTCCGTGGCTTCACGCGTCCTTTTAACAGGAGCTGCCATTTCAAAAATTGCTGGATCTACCTCGAGCTTAATATTTATAAAACTTTATAAAAGGAAACGGTAAAAACAACAGACGAATTTAATAAAATAA